AACTGACGATGATGTGGGTTTTGTCTGGAACATTACTGAGGTTTTATTGTCCTACTTTTTTATTTATAAGGAACCGTTTCACTTATAATAACTTAATAGACCATGCTTTTGTAAACTTACATGAATCTTATTCTAACTTCCAAATCCCCTTCTAGATTTAATAACTTCTTAAATATTCTTATTTTTGTGGCAATATAATTATTTACATAGGCTTAATAAGAATCTGTCCTGTTTTTACAAGGACGGAATTAGAAATATTGATTATAAGAACCAGGTCCTGCCTAGAATGACATCTGAAAGTTATGTTCATTGAATCAAGTGTGACCAGAAGACCCTTGCAAGGACTTAATGCTGGCTTTATGGAGCCAAAGCACATAAATCCCTCTTGGGAAAACTGCTGCAGTACCTGTTCCCGGCTTAGAGAGCTCCCAGCCCTACAGACGAGGAAGGAAATTATATCATCCAGGCAGGTCCAGAAACCTTAGGAGATATAGGGAACCTGGAATAGAGTGGAATCCACTTAAATTTACAAGTACTGCAGGTGAGATGAAGTAGGGAATTCTTGGCTTGGCTTCCTAGACTCAAAGGCTCTTAAAAGTCCAACCTGAAACTCCTTATGAAAACTTCTAGCAAAGCCAACTTAAGAAGACTTTTCCAGGGGTGGGTACAGTGGGAGGTGGTTGGGCCCAAGGAAAGGGGAATGGGGGGGAATATGGTAGATTTCTTTTGCATCCATACAAAATAGAAGAATGACACTTGTTGAAATTGTTCTAAGAAGGGAGGGGGAAAGGGAGAACCACGGAGGGGTAAATCTAACTAAAATATATTTTAAGCACATATGAGAGTATCACAGTTGTCTCCCTGTACAACTATTATATGCTAATAAAATTTTTAAAAAATGATCAGATAAATTACCATTATTGCTGCAACTATGTAAATAATCAGACCAAATGTCATGAAATGAGCTCCATTTTGTTTTTATCAAGAATATTTTTTGAGATTAACTTTAGTGAAAAGAGAGAAATTGTGTTTTACTAGAAAACAATGAACACCCTTTTGGGTTTCAGAGTTTTCCCCTGTTCTTTGTCTTTCAGCTAGTTTTCACCTCTTGTTAATTGTGGATAACAAACAAGCACTGTCATACGTGCTCAGGAGTTTCAAGACACTCCACGAGTGGTGTTGTACAACCCAAAGACTTCCCCACACTGATGGCTCCTTACTTTAACACAACCTTTTATATTAATATTTCTCTTTTTCACTGTCCCATCCCCTTTTAAGATGCCTGATCTCCAGGACTAAAACAACCAACCTTTGCTACCTCTGAACATAGTTCAACTGGTTTCACAGGAGAACATTCATAAAAGTCCTTGAGCGGCCACTTCTTGGACTCAGCTGTATCTCAAAAGACGTGTGATGTGCTATGGACTGCTCAGCAATTCGAAACAGTCATGCTGGTAGGGGGGGTGTGGGGGGAGTTTAACATTACCACAATGTTAAACTATCTGAACCCTCAGCTCCTAGAAAGCAGTAATGGGGGCTGAGGAAACTTTCTATCTGCAAGTTTGACCTTAAATCTACTTGGTCCACAAAGGAATTTCTTCATGTATGTTAGGATGACTAAAGTGGAAATGTGACATGCACTCTGCTCTGATAACGACAAACTGAAACTCAGGGTTTAAAATATGAGGCCCTCCAATGAAACCCACCAAATAATCCCAGGGTTTTTGAGATTAAGGAAATCTGTCTGGCTTCTGCTTCATTATCTCATCCATGCACTGCTCCCACAGGTTTCAACATACAAGCCCAACTCTTTTATAAGGTATTACAGACCCTTCTCCATCTAGCCCAGGTGTCACAAACCCTCTCACTATATTTGGCTAACATGTATGTTTTGTCTGGTCTGCACAGTGCTTTAAATCTGACTTAATTGCTAACATTTAAAAAGAAGTATTATGCATAAACTTTCTGGATATTTTGCTCTAGTGAAAAAGCAGATGGTCTGGCTACATGGGGCCCATATTTTCAGATGGCAACAATCACTGGTTGAACTCTATCTGGAGATGCCACTTTTAGATTTTTGTGGCTGTTTGCCACAAACCCCAGCCCCACTTTAAGTCAGCAGGACAGAGTATAAATTAGCATCCTATATCCAGCCTACTTTGCTTATTTTTATCACATGTCGAGACTCTACACACCTGCCTATCTTAGCTCTGAATCCTCTCCACTCTTTCCAGTCACATTCAATTACTTAGAGTTTCAAAAAAGATAATCTCACTCTGTATTTGTTTTCTTTGCCAGCCTTTTCCTAAATCCAAGACCATGAAGCAAGTGAGGGACCTTGGCTACAAAATGTAAGGAAGCATATTCACTCTTGGGTGCTGACCTGCATTTGCATGAACCTGAGAGTGAGTGCCTCCTTAAAATCTGAGTCCTGCCCACCTGACTTGCCTCATCCTAGTCCTAGAACTGATACTGATATCACTTCTCTTAGAAGCCTTCCTTGTTTATTCTCCCCATCAACCTCCTCCCAACATGCGTGCGCACACGCGCACGCGCACACACACACACACACCAATCCACCTGAGGGACTTCCACAAGCCAATCCCTACTGTAGTACTTACCACATTGCATAGTCTGTAATAAGTACTCCTCCTTCAACAGGCCACCAGCTCCTTGGGGGCAGGTGTGTTCTATGTCTCTGAATCCCTGGTCTACAGCCCCTACCTAGTGGATACTCTACCTATTTAACACTGACCAAATACCTATCAGGGATCTTCACAAAAGTGGACAGAGATTCTCTGAAGCCCATGTGGGAACACTCTTCTTTTAAGTTCCTGGAACTGTGTTCATACAGAAAGTCATTTGCCTAAAGCTCCTCTTAAAACTTACCTAAATGGAAGCTCTGTGAGGACAGGGTCCATAGAAGGTGCTCAATAAAAATTTGTTAAATTAATCAAGTGGGCTTTTGGAGACACAGGTTCCAGTAGTAAACCTGGCAGTTAACACTACACTCCGATGGCTCACGCCTGTAATCCTAGCTACTCAGAAGGCAGACATCAAGAGGATCATGGTTCAAAGCCAGCCCAGGCAAATAGTTTGCAAGACCCTATCTCAAAAATACCCAACAACAAAAAAAAGGCTGGCAGAGTGGCTCAAGTGGTAGAGCGCCTGCCTAGCAAGCATGAGGCTCTGAGTTCAAATCCCAGTACCACAAAAAAACTGGCAGTTATCAAGCTGTGTGGGACCTTCCAAAACCAATTTCCGGATGTGAGGGCGATCTGGCTGCGACATCTGTCACCCCATTGATCGCCAGGGTTGATTCGGCTGATCTGGCTGGCTAGGCGGGTGTCGCCTTCCTCCCTCACCGCTCCATGTGCGTCCCTCCCGAAGCTGCGCGCTCGGTCGAAGAGGACGACCATCCCCGATAGAGGAGGACCGTTCTTCGGTCAAGGGTATACGAGTAGCTGCGCTCCCCTGCTAGAACCTCCAAACAAGCTCTCAAAACCAATTTCCTACCTCTGTGCCAAGTTTCTCCATCTGTTGAATGGAAATGAACTACTTTGGTATCCCTCCCCCACTCCTAAGTTTATGTAAAATGTATTTGGCAAACACTCTAAGAGTCTCAGCTTCTTCACTCTTTCAATTCGCACTTCTCATTCTTCAAGCAAATTCCTACATGGAAGTCCAATCTAAACAGCTGCTTTACTTGAGCTTGGGCAGATGGGAGACACTGACAATACAAGAAGCACAGTTGAAAAGAGCCTGAGCCCTGTCCTGGGGTCCAATACACACACTAACATCAAGATGACTGTCGAAATCAGGGCCCCGGGCTCCACAGCTCCACTATAGAGATTCGGATTCTTTTAGACTAAGATTGTGAACTCCGGATCATTAAGATTCCCAGGTGATACAGGCATTACTTCATGTACTTCTCACAAGCCTTGTGCAGTAGACTATACCCTCCACTTTATAGAAGAGGAAACAGAGGCTCAACACGTTCAAGTAACATCTCCAAGATACCATAGCTAATATATAAAACTTAAGTCTGAAGCAGACACAAGACTCCATTAACACTTGGTATTTCCTTTGGCTACTGAGCCCTTGGAGCAGAGAAAAAGACCAGGAAATGTTCACTGAAGGCACAGATGTTTTGCTCTAAAGCAGGGACAAATGCCACGGTCTGGGCAATGAGACTCAGCCTCCCACTTGTCCCTGCTGGACACAAGACTGCTCAGGTAGGTCCTGGTGCTGATCCCCAAGAGAAGGAATTCTTCAGAGGAGCCTCAGGTGTCCCTATGTGCTCTAGAATCACTGCCATCCCTTCTAGAAAACTGTTGCCTACAGTGGGGTTAATGCTCCAAGTCACCTCTTGGAGCCATCATGAGAAAAGTGTCGTGGAAAGGCCCTCTTCACATAGTGTGAAATCTAAAACTGCACCCCAAATTCTATCTTAACTGTACTTTTACCAATTTTCCCAGTGAAACAGAGATGCAGTGACTGGAGGTCAATGTTGTCAGTACAAGGGCTTGGTACCCCATACCATCTCAGCTTCAGGAGCAACTGTTCTTTCACAGCCACAGCATCTCAGGAAGGTCCCCAAGACTTCTTCCCAAAGCCTCCAAGAAGCCTCGGCCTCAGCTGTTACAGCACTGGCTGTCCCTCTCACTACCAGTACAAATCCCAGCTTTCAAACTGGCAAATCCAACAAGGACAGTGACTACAATAGGCCAATGAATTTGCAAAAATCTATTTAGTTCCCATTAACAAAAGTCACTTCATTGAGTCAGTATCCCTCAGAGCAATGGTCAGATGATAATTAGGCATTTCTGAAGTTGGCAGGCAAATGGTAACTGAGTTAAAGAGTTATTGTAAATCATACAGTAAGAAGCAAAGATGTCACAGCCAACAGCTCTCAGGGAGCCCACAGACACCCATGGGAATCTGGCAGTGCTAGGGAGTCATTTTTATTTTTCTTTACAAGTCATTATGCTCAAGCTCACATGCCCTCTTTTTCCTGCATGGCTTTCATTGACATTTGTGGTGAGGCTCTGAGGGATGGGAGAGTTGAAGCAAAGTTCAACAGGAAGGATGACATAGGAAAGGTCTCGAAGCTCTGGTGACTGACTGGCTTTGAGGAAATGAGAACCTGTTTTAACAGATCCTTACAATAGAAAACAGGCATTTATGGAACTGCATGCATCACACAGTTCCCAGTCTTCAAGGTCAACAATTCACAGGTGAAACAACAGTTATTTTAAGAAAGATACATGGGCTGGGGCATAGTTCAAATGGTAGAGCTCTTGTCTAGCACATGCAAGGGTCTGGGTTCAATCCCCAGTACCACAAAAAAGAAAAAAAATCAGATTTTATACTAACAATAATCCTGAAATTGCTAACATTAGGCACTGTGCACACTGGCACTGAGTGTTCTCATTCCCATTTTACAGATGAGAAAAATTAACACTCAAAGAAGTCAAGTCACTTGCCAAAGTTACACAGCTAGTAAGCTATAGGGTTATAGGGCTGTCTGACTCCACCCAGGATGTTGACTTTTAAATAAGTCACGTCCTTGGAACGGGATAGATTTGCAGAAGTAGAATGAAGCGGAATCAGTAAGGAGACACAAATATCTACCTGACCAGCTAAAGAGGCATATTTAATCAAAATACTCATCAGTCTTACTCTCACAAAAATATCCCTTCGTCTTTCGCTAGTTCGCTCTAGCTGAAGGAGAAAGAGAAGGCAATTGCCTGTTGCCTGAAAAGTTGTACTTACAGAAATGCTAACTTTCAACTTTGTAGGGGAATTTGTTCCTTAAAAGAACCTTACTCCAGATGGTTTTGGAAAATAAACAAATCACTCTTTATCATTTATGAACTATCTATTTTCAAGCACTAGATGCTTTAAAAAAAAAGTCCCCCTGCAGGCTGAGTCAGTTGAAGTGTCCGGATTGCTTGTGGGGGGATGGCACTAGCAGAGAACATTTCCTACCAGTCCTAAGCAGTCTCCCAGGGTCTTGGCCCTGGACCATGGATGAAGAAGATGTCCAGGTGCTCTGTCTCCACACACTGAGAGGCTGCCTGGTCTCAGGCCTTTCTGGGTGGGGAACACGTACCAATGTTGATCTCGTCATCAGTCAGAGTGTCTCCAATGAAGTCAAACTGGAAGGACTGCAGCGTCTGGGAAAACTTCTGAACAGCAGAGGAGTAACCTGCAGGGGAGGGAGCAGGAGACAGAGTCAGTGCAGGTGACCTTTGACCCATCTCCTGCTCTGTGGGAGAGCAGACAGGACAAGAACAAGGGGACACTCAGGGCAGGAAGATCAACTCTCCAAAAGAAAGCTTGAGCAAGTCAAACTACAAGTTCAAGGACAAGGGGAGGGAGCAGCTTAGTGAAGTCCTTAAAGGGATGGGACCTGTCTTCATACTTGACCCCTCTCCTCTCTGGCCTGTCTTACCCTAACCTTGAAATGATTTCATGGTGCTCTCTAAACAGTATCCCTAAGCTTCACCAAGCCACCATTATGCATGATGGTCTACAATGCTTTCTCACCTTTCATGAAACAAACATACACAATCATTCTACAAAGAAAGAATTAGATCCTTTAATAGATGTGGAACTCAAGGTCTTAGGACCAGCTGGCACAGCTGGGACTAGGAGCCAGGTGGTCTGTCTGCCTCTCCAGGGCCCTTTCCACGACAACATGGGTACCACTTAGACATCTTACACATTAAACAAATGGAAGCCTGGTGAGGGGCAGAGGAACAGATTTAGCTTGTTGCCAGAGTGTTCACCAAGGCAGTGATCAGTGAACAAAATCAGGGTGACCTGGCCAGATAAATGCTTCTATTTTTAGTCAATGATTTCGAATTTTCATTACAAAGGTTCAATGACAGTCTAAAATTAAATCATATTTAAAGCCAGGCATGTTGGTACACACCTGTAATCTCAGCTAGTCAGGAGGCAGAGGTGGGGGGATCTCAGCCCACCTCTGAGGTGGGGGGGCTCAGACAAAAGCATGAGACCCTACCTGAAAAACTAAAAGCAAAAAGGGATGGGGTGGGAGCGTGGCTCACATTATAGAGTGCTTGACTAGCAAGCCCAAGACCCCGAGTTCAATCCCCAGTATTGAAAGAAAAAAAGAAGAAAGAAAGAAACCACATTTTACTATACTTTACAGAAATTTCCTTCCTTGAAATTTTAAAATATTACCTTCAGTGAGAGGCCCAGCTAAACTCTTGACCCTTGAGAGTGGGTCTTAGGCCAGAAATGGCATCATCAACTAAGAGCACATGGTCACAGCCAACCCTAGACCTACTAATGCAGATAGTACCTTTTTTCAATACAATTCCCCAGGGACTTTTATGTGGTTAAATTTCGAGTTGCATGCTCCATCAACTAAGCTCAGCCATTCGATCATCTTCTGGGAAAGCTCAAGCTTGCTAGTCATTTTCGGTTCCCTTTTCCTCATTTCTTCTTTTGCTCCCTGGTCTCCTATTCCTCTTCTTCCTCTCTCTCCCCCTCCCCCTCTAGAAGGTAAGTGGCTTAGAGAGCTCAGCATCTGTTCTCAGGCTAAGGCAAATGGAGAGAGGGCTGGCAACAGCAGCCATTCCTCTCAATGAAAGGCCACTGCAGTTATACACAAGCACGTAAGACACAGTCATGCATGTGGCTGGAACAGATGACATGGCAAGACTTTACTTATACTTGGATATTCATAGTAGCCTCCCACACAGGTGCTCTTCAATAGTTAACTATGACAGAAGAATATTATTTAACCATGAAAAGGAATGAAGTACTGATGTATGCTACACATGGATGAAAACGTTATGCTAAGTGGAAGAAGACAGGCACAAGAGAGCATGTGTTATATGACTATATAAGTGAGATATCCACAACAGGCAAATTCCTAAAGACAGAAAGTAGACTGGTGGCTGTTGAGGGTGAAGAGTGGGAATGGGCAATGAAGAGTGTGGAGGGGGTTGATTTTTGGAAGGATGAAAAAAATTTTTTTATTTCTTTTATTCATATGTGCATACAGTGTTTGGGTCATTTCTCCCCCCTTTCCCCCGCCCCCGCCCCCTCCCTTTCTCCCGCCCCCCTCCTCTATGTCCCATTTCCAAGAGTCTTATTTTCAGAATTTACAGTCTTTACTCTTTGAACACATCACTGAAAGTAATGATAATAATAATTAAACAACAATAATGAAGTTTTACAGAGTCTGGGGACTGCAGGTCAGGTGACAAGGGCATCTCATAATTTCTAAGCTCTACAATCACATTTTCCACTTGGAATCTGGGCCACATAAATGTGAGAGGGGATATGCCACCTTCAAATCCTTCCATAGTTCCTCAACAAAAAAGAATACAAAACTGGATCAAATATGGAAAACAATTCTTTTTCTCTGGCCTCTTCAGGCAGCAGCAAAAAAAAAAAAAGACAGACTCAGAATTCCGACCTGCTCTCTGTGACATCCAGGGAAATTAAGTGAAAATATTCATTGCATCGCTTTCCACACATACCAGGATTTCTTTATTTTGACTTGAGCCAAGCAAGGCACGGTTATTAACTGTCGTCTACAATAAGCTGAATATTTTAGAAACCACAAATACTACAAATGCCAACATTTCTAGTGTTTTAGACATAAAGGGATAGTTTAAGGAAGGAGGTGCACTCATTCTCTTTTCATTCCCCAGATGTCTCGGCTCCAAATGTGGTCTCACAGCTGCACAGGCCTTGCAAGTTTAGGTAGGGCTTTCCACAAGCATTCTCCTTTACTCCACCCAACTGCCCAAAGGTAGGTATTAGTACCTCATGTCACAGAACAATAAGACAGACAATGCTGACAAATCACACTCAAATTACTAGTAAGCCTAAATAAACATCTCTTCATGGAAAGAATGTGCTACGTATTTGGCCTCTGTACTTAGGGAAGTGCCAAGAAAGACTCACATTTCAGATAAATAAGTGAAATGGCTGACATTTAGACCCCAAAAAATGGACAGATAACTCAGAATGCTTGTCATAGGTTGGGACATTTGTTTCTTTATCATCCTAAATTCTACTACAGTGCTTCAAACCACTGAACTCATTCTTTCAGGTGCCCAGGCCTTCCCCATCTTGTCTAGGATGCCACTATGTTGTAAGTTTCCATGCTGTCTTTGAGGGCTGTCTATCACCTTGTTATTGGTCTACGTTCTTTCTTCACTTTTTTCACTCATTCTAGAATGTAGTTGGATAGCACTTTTTAGGCACTGTGAAGCTTTCTGGTAATGAGGCAAATGACGAACAGGACGGAGTAATGAATGCCGTGAAGATACCATCTACTTTTTATCACTTCTGTGCTTTGAATATCTTTGAGTGTGAGTCCTTTCAGAGTTCCTGTGTTAAAATTTAAGCCCCACTGTGAGGTACTGTGAGGGTGGAGACTTAATCCAACTGCAGTGTTTAGAAGTAGGGGTGCTTAAGAGGTGGGGGTGTTTAAAAGTGGGGCGTTTAAGAAGTACAGTCATTGGGAGGGACTAAGATTAAATAAGGCCATTAGGGTAGAGCCCCAATGATTGAATCCTGGTGACTTTATAGGAAGAAGGACAGAGAGCAGAGATTTGTAGACAGTCACAAGTACCCTGTGTCTTGCCATGTGATGCCCTGCACCACCTGCCAACAAGGCTACCACCAGATACCCTTGACCTTGCACTTCTGTGACTATCAGCCAATACACCCTTTGCTTTAAAATACACTCCGTAGTAGTGTGCTCCTTACAGAAAATGTACAAATGCAAACACCACACTTTCCTAAAGTTTCCTTAAAATGGAATCACACAGAACATACTATGGTGTCTGACTCAGTCTGTACAAACGTTTTGAAAAATTCATCCACATTGTCACATGTATCAGCAATTAATTTTATTGCTAATATTCCAATACATAAATACACCACGGTGTGTAGTCATTCATCTATTCATAGATATTCATGTCAACATGTGATAATTTTATTTCTTTCATTTTAGCCATTCGAATGGGTGTGTGGTGGTATTGTAGTACAACTTGAACGTGCATTTTCTTGATGACTCTTGGTACTGACTGGACTTTGGTAATAATTAGTTGGGTTATTTCTCTTACCATTGAGCTATAAAATTTCATTATATATTCTGGATACGACTCTTTCCTCAGGTATATGTATTGCAACTATTCTGTTAATCAACTAAAGACCTAACAATGTGAGAGCTGTGTATTCACACAAAAAAAAAAAAAAAACACAATGAACCTCAGTAAGAGCAGTGGCCTTTGTGTATGAAGTCATCCTGATCAATCACCATCTGCCCAGCTTCACAGCAGCACTGAAAATCAACAACCTCACAATCACAAGAGCTGTGCAAAGCAACAGGTCAGCAGACACCAAGGGGGTAAAATGTGGCTGGAGTCTGTCAAGGCCCCACCCCCAGCGAATCCTCACTACTTGTCTACTTTGCTTATGCTTAGGGTTTGTCTTGTCCTTACCATGAAAATGGCACTGCTACTGGGGTATTTGGCAAAAACAATCATCTGAAATGAGTTAAAATTGTAGTGGCTCAGAGGCAGCTTGGCAAGTTGACTTTAGCAAGAGGGTGACCAAAACAATTGGGGAAAAAAAAAAACAGGACAAAGACACATTGGAGAAAGACATACCCACCGGGAACTTTGAAAGACGTCAACACATCCTCAGAAGTCTAGAAAGACATAGCCTGCGAAGGGGTACACATTCTAGGCTGAGTGTGTGCCCCCGTCTCATACCCTGGTTAACTTTGCACACACAAAGGAAAAGAACAACTTACAAGGTGATCTTTGTTAACAATATCTTTAAAAGTATCTGCTCTTTTGAAAGACAAGAAACTTAAAAGAAACAGTTTAGAAGAAAATACTTGCAAAAGATACATCTGATACAGGCCCACAATCCAAAATACACAAAGAACTTTCTTATGGCAGTACTGGGGTTTGAACTCAAGGCCTGGCACTGCTGGGCAGGCACTCTACCACTTGAGCCATGCTCCCAGACTTTTTCTATTCTAGTTAATTTTCAAGTGTAGTCTTGCTTTTTTTGCCCAGGACTGACCTCAACTACGATCCTCTTACTTATGCCTCCCACGTAGACGGTGAGGATGTGGGGCAGCGGGAACACTCACTGTCATGGAATTCAAGATAGCAGTTGGAAGCCATATGTCCTACAAAACTA